TGTGGCTTCTTTCCAGCATAGCATACTATTCCAGGTTAAAACCTGATTTGTGCCTGGTCAGCCTACAAATTGAGTGAAGTATAAGTTTGTAATATAGCTGCAGAATGTTTTATTAAAATCTTAGGGATTTAGCGTCCCACTTGAAGAGTAATTTATTGATCAAATAACAAGGATGAAATAGTTTGTCAGCTAGCCTCTGGCAGTTTTCTAACTGAGATGAGGAGGTAAAGCTGCCAAGGAGTGGTGATGACAAAACATTCCACAATTGCAGTCATATGAGAAAATGCTAATTACATTGCCATTGAAAGTAAACCTTTCACAAACCTTGGCAATTCAAACTGAGCATATAATGCAAAACTGCATAAGCAGTGCTTACTCTTGGTGAAAACCCATGATTGGTATCTGAAGTTATATGCAAATTCACCCTCACCCAGTCCCAAGTCTCTCTGTTGTTGTTCCTTTTTTGTTTTATTTTTGTTTGGTTTTTTTAACATGTAGTCACTTTGCTATGATTAAGTTTGTGACCGGTTCACTTTTTATAATCGGTGCCTGACTTTCCTTGATGTCATAGTTAAGCTCAGACAATTGCCATTCCACAGTCCAAAGAGAGTGTTGTTAATAGCCACTGAGGCCATTAACCATTGGATTGGCAGTTAGTATTGCTTAATCACAAAACAGCAAATTTAAAGTATAATTAAAGTCTCTTATTTTTTGGCACATATCTACTGCTAGCAAGCAGTGGATAGAAATTTTTGCCAGGAGAGGTTAAATAGTTTTCCTGCATTCTTTCTTCACATATAAACCATGCTGAATCAACATACAACAAAGTATGCACTTGAGAGCCTCCCACTGAAGGGGGGGGGGGTGGGAGGGGTTTGAGTCAGTGGTGTGGAAGTCAATAAAGTCACTAATATGGGTCTGCAAAGAGAGTCTTTAAGTAGAGATTCATTAAGTCTCAAGGAAGGCTTAGAAGTGTCGGGAGCATATATACTAAAAAAAAGTGGGGAGGTCTTCTTCTGGTGATGGTGGGGGGAGCAGAGAGGTTTCCTACACGTCCAGCCGGCTCCAGGTTGCTCTCTCTCCCGCGCAGCAGAACCCGGCCAACTGCAGTTCGGCAGTTGTCCTTTCCCACCAATGGCAGCTGAGGTGGGCGGAGGAAACTGCTGTGGCCACCGAGGAGCCTGAGCGAAGTCTGACCCTGGGGCGGACTGGGCCGGGGGGCAGTGCGGCAATTGCCCCCCAGGCCTCTCTGATGCCTTTGCAAACGCCCCCTGCTGCCGCAGCCACTTGATCTTTCCCCTCTCAGCCGCTCTGCTGCTGCAGCGGCCAGGAGGGGAGAGGTGAAGTGCTTGCGGCGGCAGCAGGGGACGTTTGCAAAGGTGTTAGAGAGGCCGGGGGGAGGGGGCAATTTCCACCCGGCCCAGTCCACCCCTGGGTCAGACTAATCCAGCACATTATTAATCTGAGTGCCCCACTCTATGACCGCAAGCGACGGGCATATTGAGTGGGGCAACTCAGATTAATAACGTCCGAAAGATGTGGACTGGGAGAGGGGCCTCTTTAAGACTGCAGGGCAGAGAGGGCACCTGGAGCCGGCTGGACGTGTAGAAAACCTCGCTGCTCATGAAGCTGCAGCGGCCGGCAGGAGAGGGAGCCCAGAGAGGTGTGATCGCCGCTGCGGCCGTCTTAAAGAAGACCCCCTCCCAGTCCGCATCTCCCCCAAAACAGCAGAGGTTCGCATCCATGTTTCACATTAGGGATGATGTACTTCATTGCTTCCTCTTCAAAATCTAGTTTATAGTTATGACTATAAAGTTCACTACTGGTCACATGACTCCAGATCATTTTGATCCAGAAGTGCTGAGGCTTCTGTAGGTGCTGTTTGTTGTAATGTGAGCAGGATGCTGTGCATCATTGACGCAGCAAAAATTGATAACATTTTTACAAGTTTTGCTGTCGTATTTAAGTTTACGAGCACAACTAACAATAATACAAATCAAAATGGCATAGACATAACTATTGGTACCTCTAACCTAATATATTGTCATACTACTTTTTGAGAAAATATCCGCAATAATTTGTGTTCACCATAGTGCGAGGCCCACCACTTAAACCCTAGGAACTTTTTGGCAGCTCAGGTCCTCAGTCTTTGTCAGTCAGGCCTGGACTAGCAATGGAGTACCATTTAAGGTTTCAGTTTTGGCCCTTGCTTTGGACTTTGGCTTTTAATTCCTTGGTCCATAGGGCAACTGTGAGCGATGATCCCTATAGCAAAAATCGCCTGTGTATGTCAAGTCTATAGCTTCTGGGTACTGTGTCTTAATTACATTTTCCTAGCTGTGGCCGCCTCGTGGCCCCACAGAACCTTAATTTGAGTCTGTCTTTTCTTCTAAACTTGGATTCACCAAGTTATATCCCAGGTGTATTCTGTTAAGGCACGGGAGGCTCTTTTCCCTGTCACTGCTCATCCTGCCAGAGTTGTAAGTGCCTCGTTGGTCTTTTGGAATTAGGCATCTGTTTCCCAGGTATGCAGTGCCACTTATTGTGTGAATGTCATGGCTTTGGCCGATGCCAGTTTTAAAAGTGCATAGCTGTGTGTTTAACCCCTTCGTGACGGGAGACATACACTGTACGTCCCGTCACGAAGTGCTTAATGACTGGCCATATACACTGTACGTGACCAGTTATTTGCTGCTCTGCAATGCTGGTAACCGCTGAGAATCAGCAGTTACCATTCATTAATGGATGCCACAGTATAGAGGCATCCATTAATTAAAGAGTTAACCTTTTTCAGACACCCGATCCCCGATCAGGAATCGGTTGTCCGAGAGTAAGAGCAGAGCCACATTTGCAGCTCTTGCCGTCACTCTGACAGCTGGTAAAGAACGGGAAATCCTGACGTAAACTGGCTTTTTTTTTTTTTTTCTTTCAGCAAAAGAAACATAATATATCTATTCCTGAAAGAATGTTTCAGTTTTCTGATCGTTGTTGGAACGATCAGAAAACCTTTAGTGACAGCTGATCCTGAAATGCTGCAGAATCAATGTCACCAAGGTTATTATTGGCTGCTTTTAAATTTGAAGCAGCCTAATAATAACCAAAAATGAATTGATTAATTTATCAAGCAGTAATAGTGAGATTAATTCACAATGACTGCTTGATATAATTAAATTAAATAAAAATTTAAAAAGTTTTAAAAAATAGTGAAAAGTAACAAAAATAAAGTGTAAAAAAATAAATGTAACAAATAAAAATAAATGTAACAAATAACAGGGACGTGGGAGGTTTTTCCAAATAAAGGACAAATAAATGAATGTATTTATTGCATTACAAATCAAAACTGGCGAAAATGTGTTTTCTTTAAAGGAGAACTATGAGGTGAGTGCTTTTCACTCACCTCATAGTTCTAGCCGACCTGTGACAATGAAACTGTCACAGGTCGGCTCAGTAGATCGGGAGGTGAGCGAACACATACCGGCATTCGCTCACCTTTCGATCCTGTCACGGCTCTCTGCCGTGACAGGGGAGGGGCTGGATTTCCCCCTCCCCAATCTGTCAGCGCTGACTAGCGGAACGGACGGGGGGGGGCAGGTACAGCTGGCTCTGCTTCTAGATTGGCAGAGCCAGCTGTCAGTCACGCAGCTGGGCGGATCCAGACATAATTGTCGAGATCCGCTTCAGCTGCGGCGTCTTAGTATAACGCGAGCAGCAGCTCGCGGTATACTGCGGCGTCTCAGTATACCCCAAACTGCAGCTCGGGATATACTGAGCCTAGGGTGACGGGAGGATGCTAGTTTGTGTCCTCCCGTTACCCTAAGGAGAACTATGGGGAAAAGCCTTAACCCCATAGTTCTCTAAGTTTTTTCCTCTTTTTATATTTTATTTGTCCTAAGTGAGGCGTTGGGTATACACATATGTGATATAAATATATAGCCCTATCTGTCCTCTAAAAAACAATATATAATATGTGTGGGTGCATGTGGTAAGAAAGTATATTACGGACGTGGAAGAATCACACAGCAAAAATGTCAAAAGTGCGTTAGTCATTTACGAACAGAAACTAAAAACAAGCTCAGTCATGTAGGGGTTAAATCGCTCAATGACACTTAACAGTTGCATGTTGATGCACATGATAGATGCACATGATAATCTTTCCACTCCTCAGTGACTGCTTTTGGACATAATACATAGTCAGCTCACCCCAATTGACTTACTCTCTTCTTTATGGAAATTGCACAATCTGTGTTCTCGCACACATTTATCAAGACCTTTTCCAAGTGATCAATGCATCCAGGTTTGAACACACTGCAGACGGCATAGCCTCTAGCAGAAGCTGTGAGTTTTGATTCAGGTGCAACGCCTCTTAGAGCCAGGTGTATACTTAGAGGTCTGCTGTGTCACCCCCCTCCCTTCACAAAGAACTACTGGAGTAAAGACTTTTATGGCAAATACAAAAATTAATTTCTTGTTTTGGTCCACTTTAAGATTAAAACATCGAGTATCATTAAATCAAAAAAGAGAGTGGAAAATTTGGCTTTTTAAGGCACCAAGTGATAAAACCAAGAAATTACAACATAATTTGTTTTTCTTGCAGTGTGCAAATATCAATCATGTTTTTAAATATTTTTAACTGTTGTATAATGAAGAATTATTGACTGATTATGTTGTAATTTCTTGGTTTTGTTACTTGGTGCCTTCAAAGCCCCATTTTTCCACTCTCTTTTTTGATTTGATATACCCGGGGTGCGGCACTTTATATGCAGGTTCCGGTCACGATAATTTAATTTAGTCGAGTATCATTAGGTGACAAGTCAAGAATAAATATGTATATACACGGTGGTCTGATGTTTAGTGGGTTTATATGCATTTCAATATGGTCAGGATAAATATAAAAAAGAAAAAAAAATGTATGTGCTTATCTGTAATTTATATCTGATCTGTTGAAAAGTCATATTTGAAATTTAGAAGCATAATGTTTTTTATATACTTTTTTATTTTAGGCTTTGAAATCGTTACGTAATTCAGACTTAAAACCATATATTATATTCATTGCTCCACCTTCCCAGGAGAGATTACGCGCATTACTAGCTAAAGAAGGCAGAAATCCAAAGGTAAGCCTTAACTGAACGTTAGTGTCTGTAAAGGCTCTCATTCATCCAGTCATGGTATATCTTAAAAAAAAAAAAAAGTCAGGGCAACTGGACTTGCTGTATTTTTCTTGAAGATGTTTCACTGGTCAGATGAACAGTAAAATGTCTTCAAGAAAAATACAGCAAGTCCAGTTGCCTAGACTTATTTTTTACGCATAAGAACTTTATTGTTGCATATAAAATGCAGCTAGCTGGTTGTGGCAAAAATAACAGCAGAATAATGTAAATTTAATAGGGATGTTCAGATACCAGTGCAGATTCTTGGCATTTTCACAAGAATTACCAGGGTCGCCCTGTATGATCCTTAAAAATGACAGCTGCCTCCTAACTTTTTAGTTTTTCTCTAGTCTAATCTTGGAGCTGGAAAAGTATCTGTACTTGTGCCAAGTACTGTATTTGGTATCTGAACATCCCTAAAATTTTATATAATTTATTTGCTCTTAGTAAAATGCTTACAATGGGCTTCTGACCTTGCATCAGGTCTAAATTGAATTGCTAATAATTTAAGATGACTTGAAGTATTAGGTCTAAGAGCACTAGATCAGAGCTTAAGTTACAGATTTCAAGTTAGTTTGTATGTGGATGTTGTGCAGTGTAAATCAATTCAATGTAATAACAATCTAAATTGATGTGTACAATGGATATATAATCAGGTAAGACCAGCTTTTTTTAAAGATTTGTGGAAAAGGGGATGGCTGGTAAATGTAAATGCTTGAGTTTAAAAGAAAAAATTACGTGTGATCTTCCATAGCGGACTTGTTTTTGAGATGGCTTTTTCTGTAATGTCATTTTCATACTTCCTTTATTGCTGGACACAGGGAAATGCGTACAATTTGTTTTCTTTATTTTTGGGTAAATGACTAAGTAGTGAAGCAAGAATAAAGATGACAGCCCTAGAGCTTACATCAGCTCATTAAAGGCAGCTCTCATGCTTCTATCTTGATTGGTTTCCTTTAACCTCTGATGCAACAGTCACAGATTTTTGAGCACACATGATAATCTCTTTGACTTTTTAAGGGCTTTGTTTCCTTTTAGAACATGAAATAGTCCCTTCACTGCGTATGAACATAAAAATTGGAGGAAATGTTCCGAAATTGAGGGGAATTCCCATCTTAGACAGATGTCCCCAGAATATTTCTTCCCACTGGAAGATTTCGCTTTATCTCTTGCTCTTATGACAACTCTAAAATTTAGGATTTCTTTCTACTTTTTGTCTTGGTAACAATGTTCTCCAGAAAAAATAGAGGCGTAAATCAACTAATTGGGTTTACTGACCCAATGAGTTGGTCTAATCTTTCCCCACTTTATCCAATAAATAAACAGTGCACTTTTATCACGGGCTGATCATTGGCGATGATCAGCATAGCAAAAATTGCATGTTTACACCAAGCCAAGAAACCGAACTGACCTATGTCCTATTTATAGTAGCCTTGTATAATCTCAACGGTCAATAGTTAGATGAATGTCTGCAATTAGAATTTTAAAAGATAGTTTATGACTGCATACCTGAATTAACACCTAACAGCCAATGATTTTTTGACAAGTCATGAAGGCTCGTGGCTGTTGATAAGAGTAACCGAAGCAGACCTCAAAAGAACCCTAGTTCAGACCTGCCAACTGCAGAAACTGCAGGGGACCAATTCCACAGAGGAGGCACCATACTGTCTGCTGCAACACTCATTTTCTTAAAGATCAGAAGGAGCATGTTCATCGTATGTTAAAAATATTAGTTGCAGGGAAATTAAAATGACCCCTTCTGATGGTGTACTTTGAGATACGTACAGAAATAAAAAGGTATGCCCTAGCTGTACACAATCACGTGAGGACCAACATAATGGTTATGTGGGCCCTGCCCATGGTGATCATGTAGTGTTTGGATTTGCTGTGATCGGGATGATATGCTGATGTTGGAAATTTATAATCCCGGCCCAAACATCAGAAACTGCTGGTCCATATCACCAATGGCCACTTCAGGAGGCAAGACCTTTCCTTCCATCAGGCGAGGAAACCCCTCCAAATGTAATTGGCCAGAGGAGATAAATCCTTCCCACATTTCTCCTCTGTAAATGAAGTAGTCTGAAAAAAGAACGTCTGAGAGAATGTATTTCAAGACATAGTGTTTATGGATTTTCGGTGTTCTACCAACAGGAAAAAACAGTACCACCCAAACAGTGAAGTTACCCTACTAGGTAAGGTTGAATAAAGACAAAGGTCCATCTAGTTCAATGTGCTTGCGTGTCTCTTAGTAGTTCCCATATCCTTGTATATTTAGTGAACTTAGGAACTCATCTAAAAGTTCCCTGAATTTATCAATGCTATCAGCGGATACTACTGACTGTGGAAGAGAATTCCACATTTTTACTACTCACAGTAAAAAAAAGAACCCTTACACAGTCTAAGATTAAACCGCCTATCTTCTAACCTCTTGTTGTGTCCTCATGTCATCAATACAGTTCTAGGTGTAAACACCTTATTCCAAATATTGTGGTCCCCATTAATGATCTTGTAATTTACAATAAGGCCCCCTCTTAAGTGCCACTTTTCTAAGGAGAATAAGTTTGATTTCTGTAGGCGATCTTCATAACTCAGGCCTTCCATTTCCTTTATTAATTGTGTAGCCCTTCTCTGAACTCTCTGGATTTTGTGGACATGTTGCCTGAGGGTTGGTGACCAAAACTGAACCACATACTCAGTGTGGACGAACTAGTGATTTATAATGTGGTAAAATTATGTTTTTATCCCTTGCTAAAATCCCACTTTTAATGCTAGATAGTATCTTGCTTGCTGCTGCTTGGCATTGCATACTATTGCTGAATTTCTCCGTGTACATCTTCCCCAGTGGAACAACCATGTTCCTTTAGTTAGTAGTTTGCGCACACGTTCTTGGTGCATAACTTTGCATTTTTCAATATTAAATTGCATTTTGCCATCTTGCAGTCCATGCCTCAATGTTATCTATGTTTTGTTGATGTGAATGTATGTCTTTTTGAGAATTTACTGCAAACAGCGAGATTCAACTATTTATTCCAATCTCTATGTTTATGAATAAAATTTTATTCATAAACATAGAGATTGGAATAAATAGTTGAATCTCGCTGTTCGGTCCCGATAGGAGATGTTACACATAACTAGAATGTCGTCATGCGGGGGCGTGTCCTGGACATGGCTGAGAACAGACGTGTCTAGCTAGAGCTCTGAGCTCCGAGCACAACACCCGCAATACGGACATCCCAGCCCCTTCCGACAGCACTACCAGCGCACAGCATACGGCATTCAGCATTCAGTAAAGGGGAAAAAAATATGAGCTCGAACAAGAAAACCACGAGAAGTGGGAATAACAAAACTACAGCAGCAGGCATTAAACAATATCTGGCAACGGATACAACACGGGGGACGACCAATATTGTATTTTATAACTTTATTTTTCTTATTTTTCTTATTTTTTTCCCAGACTTTTTTCCATTCCCTATCCATGTCTATACCTATACCCCTTCCTAGTAATGCAGAGAGTCCTAGTGGTGGCTATGAGGAGAGAGGCAAACAAGGTGTCAATCAATGGAAGACATCAAATTAATTAGCTATACTCCCCTCCCCCTTCCATCTATTCTCCTCCCCCCCCCCTTTTTTTTTCTTTTCTTCCTCCCCTCTCTTTTTTGTTTGTTTAGGTATATAGTTGAGGTTGTTGAGCTACTCACCTCTGTGGTTCTGGGACCCCATCTAGTATATGCCCTTAACATGAGAGAAAAGATTAATATTGGGAGGAGAACCATAGAGGAAAGCGCATGGTAAACATATGTATATGTACACGGTTTTATGTGAAATATATGGGATGCCTCAACAATTGTTAAATGTTTGTTAAATGTCTGATAAATAATAACAAATAAAGATTAAATATTTAAAAAAAAAAGGTTCGGTCCCAAGACTGAACTCTGGGGCACTCCACTCAAAACTATTGCCCAATTTCAAAATGAACCCTCTGGATCCATTTGCACAGCCAGTGATGACTGTATATTTGTAATGTATAATTGTAAAAGTTTATTTCTGTATTTCTTTCTATGTTATTGCAGGATAGCTTAGGGAAACTCAGAAGTGTGTGGGGAAATGCTAGGATGCTCCACAACCGATAGTGTTCCCTTTAGAGTTTGGTTCCAGAAACTCTTTGGCAGTTAGGTTGTATTTCAAAACTGCAGTCCTGAGCTATCTTTTCAATTTCTAATTGTGGTCTATTGAGTCATTGAGATATTAATTCACTTCTAAAGCTGCTAAGCTAGCAAGAAACAAGTGACACAAGTCCTTTTTATAGTAGCCATTGTATTCAGATATATTTGCAGTTGCAGTGGCGTAACCAGAGTTATGGGCGCCCGGGGCAGAACATTTTTTTCGCCCCCCCCCCCCCCCC